CCATCACACTGGGCACTGGAAGAGGGGCTATTCCGCCCTCTGAGAGCAGAGGCATCAGCCCAAACCACAGGTCAAGATGGAAGGACAGGTTTGACCGTCAGCTGCCTTTGACTATAAAGAATCTGGTACAAGAGAAGATGTTTTTCTGAAGAAACCCAGAGGCAAGACAAGCTTCTGATGACCATAGGAGTGGCAGGCAAAAAAGAATCACCTTCTTGGTAGATAAGGGGCCACTTACTCTGTCTTGTTCCAATTCTTTAGACTGGCCCACTGCCCAACTATCGCCCCCATAGTACTGATGACTAGCTTGAGCCAGAACACTTTAATAAAAGTTTTTTTTTTTTTTTTTTTTTTTGTATTGACACGACTGCTAAGATACAAGAAAAACTGGAGGAATTAAAAAATTTCTGTATTGGGCCTCCCCTGTGGCGCAGTGGTTGAGCGCTGGGTTGGGAAGCTGCCTGCAGCCTCTGCAGCGCCGGTTCAATCCCCGGCTGCTCCCCGGCCACCAGAGGAGGGTCCCACATGGCGCACAGACCTCTCCTGCCACCCGCTGCTCCCCTCAGCAGTGTACTTCGGTCCTTCTGCCTGCTCTGCTCCCAGCTCTGGCTCTGGTGAATTCTCTCACCCTCCTGTGCTTCTGACTGTACCCAGTGCTTGTATAAACAAATAAATAAATCTTAAAAAAAAAAAAAATTCTGTATTATGATTGACCTTAAAAGACAGGCAGGACAACGGCATCATTGATGAGAGTCAATCCTTGCCTCTATAGAAAACCAACTTCTGTCTTGGTTGATCCCCTATCTCATTCCCTCACTAATTTTTCTATAGTTCCTTGTTTGAGCCCTATAGCCACAACATTCTCATTAGAATCATCTCTTCTCATCTAAAAGCCAGCAGACTTCAAATAGTCCTTCAGATGGAGCCCGACATGATGCTTCTGCCATTCTTCTCCCGAGATCCTTTAGATTTAGATCCTTTAGATTTAGTCCTGACTGCTTCCCCACATTGCCCATTTTCAGCAGGAAGCATTTACTGATCAGGGATGCCCTTTGTCCTAACAACAGTTAGGGACTCCATCCATAGAGAGGGGAAGTGAGTAGCAGGGCAAGTTACAGTTAATTAGGCAGCTTCAGGGAAAGTGCAGGCAGGGACTTCGGGACAGTTAAGGAAGGCATCTGAGATAAGGACATAGAAATTCAGAAGAGCTAACTGAGGGCAGTAAATTTTAAGAGTTTGGACAGGGGAGTTAACAAGAGAAACTGAGATAAGAGCTAGAAGAATGGGCACATCTGCCCAGAGGCGTATTGCCACTAGAAATGAGAGCCAATAATAACGAGGATAACCAGATTTTAAAATTGAGGGGATAAAAAAGGGTTTAAACACTCCTAGACACAGGCCCAAAATGGTTTCCTTTGCCCTCCCAAATACAGTGTACCTGGGGATCCTTGCTTTCTTCCTTTCAATAAACTTTACTTTCTTAAACAAAATTTGTTTCTCTCTGCTTTCTTATCTAAATGTCTGTTAATTCCATTCTACAGAACAAGAACCTGGGGTAGTTCAGGGTTAAATTAATAGGGCACACTGGTGTCAAAACTACCATAATGAAAGGAAAACCACAGCAAGACACATAATAGTGTCCAAGAGTCCAAAGGAAAAAAACAAAGAAAAAACAAAGAAGTTGACAGGAGAGAAGAAATATGTATATTGCAAAGCAAAAGGGATTAGTCTGACATCAGACTTCCCTGAAGAAAACACTAGACAAGTAGAGAATAGAATGACATATTAAAAAATATCTAAGACAAAAAACATCAGAATACTTTATTCTGCAAACCTCTTCTTCCTTAATGAGGGAAATATTAAGACCTTCGCAGACAAAATCTTCACAAATTAGCAACTGATAAACCCCACTCCAAGAAATACTACAAGAAGCCTTATAATATAAACCAACAGAGAAGTGAACCAGAAGTACAATAATGAGGTCGTGAATAGAACTACAAAACAAATGCAGCCTTTGATGAAGTAGGATTAATTCCAGGGTCATAAGGATATTTCACTATCACAAGGATGGTTCAATATATAAGTATCAATTACTGTAATTCACCACTTCTAAAAATAGAAAAGGAAAAATCACACAATCATATCAACAGACATTGAGAAACATGTGATGAAGCCCAATATCTGTTTATAACGAAGACCCTCAAAATTACAGATATAAGTACATACCTAAAAATAATAAAAACTATATACCATTCTTAATGGTGAAAAACAGAACACCTTTCCATTACTTTCTAGAACAAGACAAGGACGTCCACTCTCAGCACTCCTTTTCAATACAGTATTTATACTCTCCTTTCTTGCCTGCTGCTCCCCTTTGCATGTATCTCAGTAGATCCTCCCTATCTGCTCCCCACTCTATTTGGTGAATCCTTTTCCTTCCAGTTCTTCTATTAGAAGCAAACTAAATAAATAAGTCTTAAATAAAATAAAAACAGCATGGTACTGGAACAACAACAGACACACAAACCAAAGGAATCAAACTAAAGGCCCAGTAGTAAATTCACATGTATATGGTCAACTAATCTATGACAAAGAGGCAAAGAAATTCGCTGGAATAACAAAAGCCTCTTTTAATAAATGTGTTGGGAAGACTGGACTGCAATATAGTCAGCTCCTTTATAGAAGTATAATTTGGGACCACGGGATTACACATATAACAATTAAATTACACATTCCTATACGTTCAAGAAACAAACCCATTCTATACAGACTTCCTATATAATATTTTCTTTCCCTGCTAAAGCTATCAGCAGTCTGATGATATACAAAGGTCAAATTAAAATAGATATTATATTCCTAATAATCTTTACATTAAACATTTTTTTATCTTTAAGATATTTTTATTAAAAAAGTAGTAAAAGGCCTCGCTGGTGGCACATGGGTTGAAGACACAACACTATTAAGCTATCAAGCTATACCAGGCACTGCAGCATGAGTTCGATCCAGGCGGGCCAGGGATCTACCCACATGGTGAGATAGATCTCTCCTGTCTCACCTGCTGCTCCCCTCAGCTGTGTATTTCAGTTATCTGCCTGTTCTGCTCCCCACTCTGTCTCTAGTGAATCCCCATAACCTCACATCTCTGGCCTGCATCCCAGTTCTTGTATGCATAAATAAATCTTAAAAAAAGAAAGACAGTAAAAGGTGATACGTATCAGTATATAATAAAAATTCTGGAGTAACATCTTTTAACTAATATGACCTACCTTTCACTATTTAAAGAGTTGAGATAAGCATATGAAATGCATATAGATTTTACAATAATCTCACAAATGAATGCTATGAGAATTTCATCCAATATTTTCATTAGGTAAAATAGTAAGTAATCATGTGTCAATGCATGACACATGATTTACATATATTTTTTTCTATCAATATCAACACAAGCTGTGAAAATTCACTTTATTTCTAGATGTTGATAATTTTATGCTAATTTAGTTATACAAGACTGAAATATTAATATGATGTAATTTTAGTAATGTCATTTCTATTTCAAGTCCAGTTTTTCTTTGAAGCATGTCTGTGATGTGGATTCATATAATTGTAGAAAATTTATTTAAAAAAAATTACTTCCTATTCTCTGAATTTTTACCTGTTACTGTTCGGAGTGTATTCAAGTGATTTTTCATTACATACTACACATAACAAAGATCTGCCAAAAATCCTTTAAAGTAAAAATAAAATTTTTTCTGAAAAATATTGGGTTGTCAGAAAAATCATGTATTTTTTTCTGTTTCCCAAAGGTCATTTATTTACCAAACAAAGATCAATCAATGATATATTGCCAATTTTTGTTTGATAATGTTTTGCAATCTTTCAGTGAGCTTCATCATTCCTTGTTCACAGAAGTACCTTTTCAAAAAGGTACTTTTTGAAAAAAAGTCCTCATCAGCAAAAAACTAAACAAGGTGCTGATACACAGCCTCATCTAAATTGAACGTTATACCACACAAGGAATTTTGAGAGTCAAACAAGGTTGGGTGAGTATGGAGGATGCAGCAACACATCTTATCCAAGCTCTAGTAATTTCTGATGGGTGATCAAACTTGTATATGGTCTTGTGTTGCTGTGCTGGAACACAACTCCTTTAGATTACCAATCTCTGATGAGTTTAGAAGATGGATTCATTCAAACCATCTAAGTGCTGGCAAATCGACTGTTTGGTTCTTTGGTAGGAGCTTGAAAAACACAACTTTAAAATCCCACCACAATGACAGCATCACCCTCCTCTAATGAATGTTTCTGCTTTCACTGTCACTGGAGGCAAACTATAACAGAGCGACAGAAACCGAAACAATCTACGTCTCATCACCAATTATCAGTTGCTTCAAAAAGATTATTTTCCTTACAGTTAATGAGTATATTGCAGATGTTTACTCATGTTGTCAAATAAGCTTCCCATCTGAGTTTTTGAGGAACCCAAATATTGACCTTGCTTACACATCCCAGTTTTTCCAGGTGGTTGTGAACATTTACATGATGGATAGTCAATGTTTCTGCAACCTCTTATGATATGTAAAGTGGGTTTGACTCAATCAATACCTAATTTATTTTGTTATCATCAACCTCGGTGGCTTCTCTGACAGCAAATGTTGTGGGATCAAAATCACCAGCGGTAAATTCATGAATCATCACTGGCACTGATATTCTTGTACAGCACAGTAACTATAAACTTTATAAACTTCTCACAAGCTTGACGTGCATTCTTCCCTTTACAACCAAATTGCTCATTTTTTTTTTAATGAGCTAGAATTGTCAACTGTCTAGCAATAACATAGATGAAGATGATTCTAGTACTTCCAGAAATGAACTAATGCCATCTGTTTCAAAAATGCATCGTGATTTTTCCAACAACCCAATAATTACAAACTTTGTACCGTTTGTTCTTTATAGTAATTGTTACTCATCATTTTAATATAAAATTTAATTCAGCAACCTACTTTTCACAGAAGTCATTGAGAACACCCCAGTAATCTTCAGGAACAACAAACCATTCACAATCACCGGGACCAATATTTATGTTAACAGAACAGAAGTTGTTATTTTCCTGGTGTCCTGAAAAAAATAATGGGAAAAAAGTTCTTATTACATTGTGAGTCAAGTGGGAAATATGTTTAAGTCATAGATTGTTTTAAAAAGTAATTGGGCCTCCCGGGTGGCGCAGTGGTTGAGCGCCGGGTTGCAAAGCTGCCCGCAGCCTCTGCAGCGCCAGTTCGATCCCTGGTTGCTCCCCGGCCACCGGAGGAGGGTCCCACATAGCACGCAGACCTCTCCTGCCGCCCGCTGCTCCCCTCAGCAGCATACTTTGGTCCTTCTGCCTGTTCCCCACTCTGGCTCTGGTGAATTCTCTCACCCTCCCGCGCTTCTGACTGCACCCAGTGCTTGTATAAATAAATAAAAATAAATCTTAAAAAAAAAAAAGGTAAGTGAAAAATATGTTTAGGTCAGTGAACTGCACATAATATATAAATACCTACTGTTAATACTGATACCTTCTTTCTCTATAAATTACTACCCAAATTACAAAGGTTATCAGAAAATTCACTGAGAGATTTGGCATACCTGCCACCTGTGGCAACTACAAACATACCAATGTTATGTTTGTACATAACTCTAAGTGCTTACAACTATCTCAACAAAGGCAGGTAGATGGAAATATGATAGCATTGGGCTCTAAAACTAGAGATGCTGTAACACCATGACAGCTACTTAAAAACAAAGAAAACAAAAAACTCAACATAAAGACTGAGTGCAATCTCAATTTTTAGAGCATGTAATGATTATGTTAGAAGGTAAACGCTGCTGGGCCTCCCTGGTGGCAACCTCAACAGCGACTGACCATAAAAACTAACTAGCATTGAGACTCCCTGGTGGCGCAAGGGGTTAAACGCAACCTACGATGCTGTTCACAGTCTCTTAGCAAGAGTTTGATCCCTGGCTAGGGAGCAACCCACACAGTGCAGCAGAACTCTCTTGGCTCACCCACTGTTCCCTTCAGCAGTGTCTTTCAAGTCAGTCTGCCTGTTCTGTTCCCCACTCTGTCTCTGGTGAGTCCTCGCACGCCCCCACACCTCTGGCCTGTACCCCAGTTCTTGTATGCATAAATAAATCTTCAAAAAAAAAAAGGAAGGTAAAACTCTAAGAGTAAGTGCCAATTTTACTTGTGTAAGAACGAGCACAATTCTTAATATAAAAACAGAAACTCAAAAATCTTTTGTTAATTACATTGAGTAAATGAGAGATCATTTTTTATTCTGTTGAGAAATGAGTCACATAAATAAAAGAACTCTTTAAGCCTCTGTTGATTATTAATGAACAGCTAATGTTGTACAAACATTCTTAAAAATCCAAGGAATTTTAGGTGTAAGTTTTAGGATCACAATGATAATCTACTAAATTTGATTTCTTCCTCCGTTTTTAAATTAAATTTTTTTTCATTTCATTTTCCCTGTATTTACTTATTATAATATAGTCCAAACTGGGTAATTCTCAAATTGAAAAGTACTCAAATAGATCATAAGAAAAAAAAATTCTTAAATAAAAGTCGTACTCATAATTATGGAGTTATTAGTCACAGGTCTTAAGTCTACTCTCAAAGATTTTAAGTCTGCTCTCCTTTACTACAACATCCTCTATCTCTTTCTACTTTAACCAAAGAGTGATCATAAACAGTATCACATGAATAAACACTCCAACAAATGAGTTTTTATAACCCATCCATAAGTCAAAATTCTTGAGGAGTTTGAAAAATTTTCTAGTCCCTAAAGTGCAGGACTGATACTGTAATTTTCCTATAGTTTTTCCAAAGGTAGGAATCCTAAATTATTTACAAACAAGCAACAAACTATTTTCAAAAAGTTAGTAGGCCAGGACTTCCCTGGTGGTGCAAGGGCTTTAAGACGCAACCTGTGAAACTGTCGGCAGCCACTGAGGCGTGAGTTCAAATCCCAGCCAGGAAGCTTACCCACACGGCGCAGCAGACTTCTCCTGACTCACAATGTATTTCAGTCAGTCTGCCTTTTCTAATTTCTACTCTGTCTCTGGTGAAACCTCTCACCCCCCACACCTCTGGCCTTTACCCCATTTCTTGTATGCATAAAGAAATAAATCTTTAAAAAAAAAAAGTTAGCCAATCGGTAGTGATTTTCAAACAACAAAGAGAAAATATGATTAAGCTATTATATAGACTATAGATATTAACAGAAAGCTAAACTGATCATCTGATCAGTTATCCAAACTGTGCATTAATACTGGCAAATTTATAGACATAAAATTTATGAAAGAGGAATAGGGACGATGTTATATTTGCATTATATGACACTTAAAGATTTTAAGCCATGGAATAGCAAATCCATGAGCCAAACACCTGAACTTATCAAGAAGACATTCAAGGATATAGTAGTGATCTATGTTCTCTATGGGTGTTAACATGTTACATTATCAGAATCAACTATCTGCAACAGATTTAATGATACTCATTGCTGTCATTAGTAAGCAAATTGCTTTAGCACAATGTTAACAGCATTTGAACATTTACCAGCGTATTTTGACATTTTATTACAAATTTTTAAATGATCAGTGCATACACATTCTATCAAAACAAAAATGCACTTCATAATAGCACTTTTATTTTTTTATTTTTTTTTTAAATATTAAATTTTATTTTTATATTCCCCCATACAATTGCAAACGCCCCATTCTGACCCCAATCCTTCCCCTCCCGCCCCCCACCCCCAAAAAGTGTCTCTGGTTCATAGTTTTTGTTGATTTTGATTTTCACTTTCTTATATTCATTTTCCTGGTCCCTTATTTAAGTTTTCTAGATTCCTGCTATGAGTGAGACCATCCGGTATTTTTCTTTTTCTTTCTGGCTTATTTCGCTGAGCAGGATCCCTTCCAGTGCCATCCATGTTGCTGCAAATTGCATGTGTTTATCTTTTTTGAATGCTGAGTAATATTCCATGGTATATATGTACCACATCTTCTTGATCCAGTCATCTATTTTTGGGCATTTGGGTTGTTTCCAAAGCTTAGCTATTGTAAACAGTGCTGCTATAAACATAGGAGTGCAGGTGCTCTTTGGAATTGATGTTTCTGTGTCCTTTGGGTAAATACCTAGGAGTGGAATTGCTGGATCATATGGAAGCTCTATGTTTAGTAGGTCCAGAAATCTCCACACAGCTCTCCATAGTGGTTGGACCAGTTTGCACTCCCACCAACAGTGCACAAGAGTTCCTTTTTCTCCACATCCTCGCCAACATTTGTTGTTGCTAGTTTTTTTAATATGTGCCATTCTCACTGGTGTGAGATGTATCTCATGGTAGTTTGATTTGCATTTCCCTGATTACAAGTGATGTGAACATTTTTTCATATGTCTGTTGGCCCATAATAGCACTTTTAAAGCACAATGAAAGTGAACTATCTTCCCCTTTTGATAGGAAAGCCTATACTATAGCAATTAAGCAATTAATGTGTGTGTTGCTAAAAGAATACAAAGTACCACAGCATTATAAGACAAAGCACTCTTGACAATATGTATGCCTCACAGAAAAACAAATGGAAAAATCAGAAAGTTTTAAATGCATTATTTCATTGTTACCAGAAGACCCTCTTCACCAAAAAGAGAGAGACAGAGCTCACAGTTGCAAAGAGGATACAGAAAACCAAACAATCTAAAACGGGCCTCCAGATTGGTAAGAAAAGTGGTTAATAAACAGTGTTAATTAAATTCTATTTGACTATAACAGCTAGAGAAAAATTTCCAGATAAAGTACTTCCAGACAACCTTTTGTTGAGAATAGACTCAGTAACAGTCAAAGCAATATCAATAATCAATTTAAAAACAAAATAAATAATTTCAGCCAATTCTTATTGGTCCTGAAAATTTAATAGTTACTATAAATTGGTACTAATTGTTAGAAGCATAAATACCAAATGCTAAGAAATAAGTCTTGATAACTTGTCTTTTTAGGCTCAATTAAAAATATGAGTATTTTCAAAGAAATGGAAAAAATGTTAAATGAAATGCTACTGAAATAGAGTGTGTTAAAATTTATTTCAACTAGCAGTGGTGAATATATATTATAGGGTGAGAAAATGGCTTAATAATAAAGAAAACCTATAAACATGTAGTGTGCTAAATATGTAGTGGCTAGTCATTGTACTATTCATTGTTATAGAAATACTATTGTGTGGCACTCTTGAAGACTTAATTACTGCTATTAGGGAGAAAGGATGTCCTGAGCAAATTCCATACAAACTTTGTCGATGCCACCCCCACTCCATCAAGACACTGGGAACTACAAATCCCAAGAGCCCCAAAGGGAAGTTGCAAGGACCTAAGGGCAGAGTTAAGCAGCTATCTTCTCTGTTTTTAAATAAAACCAGCCATGTAAGTGAGGGTCTCAGGCACTTGGCTCATGCTCTTGGCCACGCAGGCTGGGTCTTGGCGGGTCATTTGGGATGTTAGTCTTCATACTTGTTTCTTTAAAAAATTTAGTGAATTTGTTCCTTTTTTTAAAGATTTATTTATTTATGCATACAAGAAATGGGGTACAGGTCAGAGGTGTGGTGGGTGAGAGGATTCACCAGAGACAGAGTGGGGAGTAGAAAAGGTAGATCTATTAAAGTAGACCGCACGCACAGGAAAGCAGCAGGCCAGTCAGGAGAGGTCTGCTGGGACATGTGGGTAGTTCCCTGGCTGGGGATTGAACTCGTGAGGCTGCAGACAGCTTCACAGGTTGAGTCTTAACCCCTTGCACCACCAGGGAGGCCCCGAATTTTCTTTCAATTGTATTATTTTACAACACTGTATGTGATTTAGGATCATTCAAAATGACCCTTAATGAATTATGTAAAGTTACAAGGCAAAACTTAAATTTGGAGTACAATATTTTTTTAATTACAATTATCTGGCTGCTTCATGTATTTTCTGTGCAATTATTTAAAATTGCAAGTAGAACTAGATTTTTTGTCAAATACATGCCATTCTTGTTCCATTTTTCAAACCTCAATGCAATGCAGAAAATAATTCCAAATTGCAAAGGTCATTTGTG